CCAACCTGACCCCCGACCCCCCCCCAACCCCCAACCGTTGGGGTAATGATCCCCCGGGACCCCCTTATAGGGTCTCTCCCCAACCCCAAGCCTGACCCCAACCCGACGGGTAACGATCTCCCGGGACCCCCTTATAGGGTCTTTCCCCAACCCCCGACCCCCAACCCTGACCCCCAACCCTGACCTTGACCCAATCCTGACCCCCAACCCAACAGGTAACAATCTCCCAGGACCCCCTTATAGGGGTCTCTCCCCGACCCCCAACCCTGACCCCAACCCCTCACCCCTGACCCCCATCCCCAACCATTGGGATAATGATCTCCAGGACTGCCTTATAGGGTCTCTCCCCGACCCCCAACCCTGACCCCCCAACCGTTGGGGTAATGATCTCCCGGGACCCCCTTATAGGGTCTCTCCCCGACCCCCAACCCCAACCCTGACCCCCGACCCCCATCCCCAACCCCCAACCGTTGGGGTAATGATCCCCCGGGACCCCCTTATAGGGTCTCTCCCCAACCCCAAGCCTGACCCCCAACCCGACGGGTAACGATCTCCCGGGACCCCCTTATAGGGTCTTTCCCCAACCCCGACCCCCAACCCTGACCCCCAACCCTGACCCCAACCCTGACCTTGACCCCAATCCTGACCCCCAACCCAAGAGGTAACAATCTCCCAGGACCCCCTTATAGGGTCTCTCCCCGACCCCCAACCCTGACCCCCAACCCCTCACCCCTGACCCCCATCCCCAACCATTGGGATAATGATCTCCCAGGAGTGCCTTATAGGGTCTCTCCCCGACCCCCAACCCTGACCCCCCAACCGTTGGGGTAACGATCTCCCGGGACCCCCTTATAGGGTCTCTCCCCGACCCCCAACCCCAACCCCCGACCCCCATCCCCAACCCCCAACCGTTGGGGTAATGATCCCCCGGGACCCCCTTATAGGGTCTCTCCCCAACCCCCAAGCCTGACCCCCAACCCGACGGGTAACGATCTCCCGGGACCCCCTTATAGGGTCTTTCCCCAACCCCGACCCCCAACCCTGACCCCCAACCCTGACCTTGACCCCAATCCTGACCCCCAACCCAACAGGTAACAATCTCCCAGGACCCCCTTATAGGGTCTCTCCCCGACCCCCAACCCTGACCCCCAACCCCTCACCCCTGACCCCCATCCCCAACCATTGGGATAATGATCTCCCAGGACTGCCTTATAGGGTCTCTCCCCGACCCCCAACCCTGACCCCCCAACCGTTGGGGTAATGATCTCCCGGGACCCCCTTATAGGGTCTCTCCCCGACCCCCAACCCTGACCCCCAACCACCCGACCCCCAACTGACCTTCTTGGGCCTGGCCCCCCGGGGGATCTGCTGCAAGGCCAAGGCGAAGCCGGCGGCGGGTTCGAGAAGCCCGTCCCGCCCCTCCTGCCAGAGGAGGATCTTGCCGTCCGTCGAGGCGCTGAGGAGGCGGGGCTGTTTGTCGCCCGGGAGCCAGGTCACCTGATTGGAGGGGGGGGAAAGGGCGGGCGGCCATTTTGATTTCTGATTCGAGAAATTAAACCCGAGAAATTAAACGAAAATTCAACCGGAAAATGAAGCTAAAATTGAACGGAAAAAGTAAAGTACAATTAAGCTGGGAAATTAAACGAAAATGAAACGGAAAAACTAAGCTAAAATTAAACTAAAAAATTAAACTAAAAAATGAAAGTAAAATTAAGCGAAAATTAGACGAAAATTAAAATTAAACCAAAAAGGAAAATAAATTTGGAATAAATTAAATTTAAACTGAAAAATTAAACAAAAATTAAACCAAAAAATTAAGCTAAAATTAAACTAAAAAAGTAAACTAAAAAATTAAAGTAAAATTAAGCTAAAATTAAACGAAAATTAAACGAAAATTAAAATTAAACCAAAAAGAAAAATAAATTTGAAATAAATTAAATTTAAACTGAAAAATTAAACTAAAATTAAACCAAAAAATTAAGCTAAAATTAAACTAAGAAATTAGACTACTATTAAACGAAAAAGTTAAAGTAAAATTAAGCGAAAATTAAACTAGAAAATTAAACTAAAACTAAAACTAAACCAAGAAGAAAAATAAATTTGAACTAAATTAAATTTAAACGGAAAAATTAAACTAAATTTAAATTAAAAAATTAAACCAAAATTAAACCAAAAAAATTAAATGAAAAACTAAAAAATTAAACTACAATTAAACTAAAAAATTAAAGTAAAATTAAGCTAAAATTAAACTAGAAAATTAAACTAAAATTAAACTAAAAAATTAAGCTAAAATTAAACTAGAAAATTAAACTATAATTTAAGTTTAATTTTTTAGTTTAATTAAAAATTAAATGAAATTAAACTAAAACTAAAAAATATAAACTATAACTTTAGTTTAATTTTTCAGTTTAATTTAAAATTCAACTAAAATTAAACTAGAAAATTAAACTAAAATTAAACTAAAAAATTAAGCTAAAATTAAACTAGAAAATTAAACTATAATTTAAGTTTAATTTTTTAGTTTAATTAAAAATTAAATGAAAATTAAACTAAAACTAAAAAATATAAACTATAATTTTAGTTTAATTTTTCAGTTTAATTTAAAATTAAACTAAAATTAAACCAAAAAATTAAACTAAAATTAAACGAAAAATGAAACTAAAAAATTAAACTAAAATTAAACCTGAAAATTAAAGTAAAATGAAACTAAAAAATGAAACTAAAAAATAATACTAAATTCTTGGTCACATGACAGGAAGACAGAAAAGGGCACATCCTATGCTGGGTCATATGACAGGAAGTCAGAAAGGAACAGATCCTATGCCAGGTCACATGACCGGGACACACCCATCACCGAAGTCACACAACAGGAAGTCAGCAAGGGACCCGCCCTCCCCCGGGTCACCTGACCCCTTTTCCGGGGGTCCGCGTGCGAGTCGTCCTGCGTCACGTGACAGGAAGTCAGCAAGGGACACTTCCTTCCCTGGCTCCCATGACAGGAAGTCAACGGGCCACTTCCTTCCCCGGCTCACACGACAGGAAGTCACAACAGGACCCGCCCTCCCCGGGGTCACATGACCCCTTTTCCCCCTACCTGGTACACGGGGTCCGTGTGCGAGTCGTCCTGTATCACATGACAGGAAGTCAGCAAGGGACACTTCCTTCCCTGGCTCCCATGACAGGAAGTCAGACTGGGACCCGCCCTTCCCGGCTCACACGACAGGAAGTCAGACCGGGACCCGCCCTCCCTGGGTCACCTGACCCACTTTTCCCTACTGGCTACATGGGATCCGTGTGCGAGTCGTCCTGCATCACATGACAGGAAGACAGAAAGGGCCACACCCTTCCTGATTCACATGACAGGAAGTGAGCAAGGGACACATGACAGGAAGTCAGAACAGGACCCGCCCTCCCCCGGGTCACCTGACCCCTTTTGACCTACCGGGTACACGGGGTCCGTGTGCGAGTCGCCCTGCATCACATGACAGGAAGTCAGCAAGGGGCACTTCCTGTGCTAGGTCCCACGACAGGAAGTCAGACCGGGACCCGCCCTCCCCTGGATCACATGACCTTGACACATCCTTCCCTGGATCACATGACCAGACCCCAAAGGGCCACATCCTTCCCTGGATCACATGACAGGAAGTCAGAAAGGAACACATCCTACGCCAGGTCACATGACTGAAAGAGGGACACTTCCTGTGCCAGGTCACACGACAGGAAGTCAGCAAAGGACCCGCCCTCCCCCGGGTCACATGACCCCTTTTGACCCACCTGGTACACGGGGTCTGTGTGCGAGTCGCCCTGCATCACATGACAGGAAGTCAGCAAGGGGCACTTCCTGTGCTAGGTCCCACGACAGGAAGTCAGACCGGGACCCGCCCTCCCCTGGATCACATGACCTTGACACATCTTTCCCTGGATCACATGACCAGACCCCAAAGGGCCACATCCTTCCCTGGATCACATGACAGGAAGTCAGAAAGGAACACATTCTACGCCGGGTCACATGACTGAAAGAGGGACACTTCCTGTGCCAGGTCACACGACAGGAAGTCAGCAAGGGACCCGCCCTCCCCGGGTCACCTGACCCACTTTTCCCTACCGGGTACACAGGGTCCGTGTGCGAGTCGCCCTGCATCACATGACAGGAAGACAGAAAGGGGCACTTCCTGTGCCAGGTCACACGACAGGAAGTCAGACCGGGACCCACCCTTCCCGGCTCACATGACAGGAAGTCACAACAGGACCCGCCCTCCCCGGGTCACCTGACCCACTTTTCCCTAGCTGGTACACGGGGCCCGTGTGCCAATCGTCTTGTCTCACGTGACAGGAAGTCAGAAAGGGACACTTCCTGTGCTAGCTCACATGACAGGAAGTCAGACCGGGACCCGCCCTCCCCGGGGTCACCTGACCCCTTCGGACCTACCTGGTACACGGGGTCCGTGTGCGAGTCGTCCGTCATGCCGCTCCTCCAGATCAGTGGGTCTTCCGGCCGGCCGGTGTCCCAGACCAGGACTTCCCCACTGAACAGCCCCACTGCGAGGGGAGAGAGAGGCGCCCGATTGGCCGAGGGGAAGCAAGACCCGCCCCTTCCTCCCGCTGGAGCCAATAAGGGTTGGGGAAGGAACTGGGGGGACGAGACACCGGATTGGCCGATGGGATGGAAGACCCGCCCCTTCCTCCTGCTGGAGCCAATCGGGTGTGGGGAGAGAGAGGCCGGATTGGCCGGCGGGACGTAAGACCCGCCCCTTCCTCCCGCTTGAACCAATAGGGGTTGGGGTAGGCGGGGATCAGACGCCGGATTGACTGACGGGACGCAAGACCCGCCCCTTCCTCCCGCTAGAGCCAATAGGGTTCGGGGAGAGAAAGGCTGGATTGGCCGACGGGATGTAAGACCCGCCCCTTCCTCCTGCTAGAGCCAATAGGGGTTGGGGAAGGAACTGGGGGGACGAGACGCCGGATTGGCCGATGGGACGTAAGACCCGCCCCTTCCTCCCGCTAGAGCAAATCGGGTAGGGGAAGACGGAGAGGAGACGCCAGATTGGCCGATGGGATGCAGGACCCGCCCCCCAACTAGCCCCCCAACAGGACTTCCCCACTGAACAGCCCCACTGCGAGAGAAAGAGAGGCGCCCGATTGGCCCGAGGGGACGGAAGACCCGCCCCTTCCTGCCACTGGAGCCAATGAGATTGGGGAGGGAGAGGCCGGATTGGCCGAGGGGATGGAAGACCCGCCCCTTCCTCTGTTCGCCCCACAGCAAGACCCCCACTGAACAGCCCCACTGCGAGAGGAAGAGAGACGCCCCATTGGCCGAGGGACGCAAGTCCTGCCCCTTCCTCCCGCTGGAGACAATCGGGTTGGGGAGGGAGAGGCCGGATTGGCTGAGGGGACGTAAGACCCGCCCCTTCCTCCCGCTAGAGCCAATAGGGGTTTGGGGAAGGGGGGACAGGAGGCCGGATTGGCCGATGGATGCAAGACCCGCCCCTTCCTCCTGCTTGAGCCAATAGGGGCTTGGGGAAGGTGGGGGGACAGGAGGCCGGATTGGCCAATGGAGGCAAGACCCGCCCCTTCCTCTTGCTAGAGCCAATAGGGGTTGGGGAAGGCAGGGACGAGACGCCGGATTGGCCGATGGGATGGAAGACCAGCCCCTTCCTCCCTCTAGAGCAAATAGGGGTTTGGGGAAGGTGGGGGGATGAGACGCCGGATTGGCCGATGGGATGGAAGACCCGCCCCTTCCTCCCGCTTGAACCAATAGGGGTTGGGGAAGGTGGGGACGAGACGCCGGATTGGCCGATGGGATGGAAGACCAGCCCCTTCCTCCCTCTAGAGCAAATAGGGGTTTGGGGAAGGTGGGGGGATGAGACGCCGGATTGGCCGATGGGATGGAAGACCCGCCCCTTCCTCCCGCTTGAACCAATAGGGGTTTGGGGAAGGCAGGGATGAGACACCGGATTGGCCGACGGGACGCAGGACCCGCCCCTTCCTGCTGCTAGAGCCAATAGGGGTTGGGGAAGGAACTGGGGGGACGAGACGCCGGATTGGCCAATGGATGCAAGACCCGCCCCTTCCTCCCGCTAGAGCCTAAAGGGGGTTTGGGGAAGGTGGGGGGACGAGACGCCGGATTGGCCGACGGGACGCAGGACCCGCCCCTTCCTGCTGCTAGAGCCAATAGGGGTTGGGGAAGGAACTGGGGGGACGAGACGCCGGATTGGCCAATGGATGCAAGACCCGCCCCTTCCTCCAGCTAGAGCCAATAGGGGTTGGGAAAGGCGGGGGAAGAGACACCGGATTGGCTGACGGGACGCAAGACCCGCCCCTTCCTTCTGCTAGAGCCAATCGGGTGTGAGGAGAGGCCAGATTGGCCGATGGGACGGAAGACCCGCCCCTTCCTCCCGCTTAAACCAATAGGGGTTGGGGAAGGCGGGGACGAGACGCCGGATTGGCCAATGGGACGGAAGACCCGCCCCTTCCTCCCGCTTGCCCCACACTAGAACTTCCCCACTGAGCAGCCCCACTGCAAGGGGAGAGGAGACGTCCGATTGGCCGAGGGGATGGAAGACCCGCCCCTTCCTCCCGCTGGGGCCAATTGGGGTTAGGGGAAGAGAGGCAGGATTGGCCGAGGGGATGGAAGACCCGCCCCTTCCTCCCGCTTGCCCCACACTAGAACTTCCCCACTGAGCAGCCCCACTGCGAGGGGAGAGGAGACGCCTGATTGGCCGACGGGGCGCAAGACCTGCCCCTTCCTCCCGCTAGAGCCAATAGGGGGTTTGGGGAAGGAACTGGGGGGACAGGAGGCTGGATTGGCCGATGGGACGGAAGACCCGCCCCTTCCTCCCGCTTGCCCCACACTGAGCAGCCCCACTGCGAGGGGAGAGGAGACGCCCGATTGGCCGACGGGACGCAAGACCCGCCCCTTCCTCCCGCTAGAGCCTATAGGGGGTTTGGGGAAGGAACTGGGGGGACGAGACACCGGGTTGGCCAATGGGATGCAAGGCCCGCCCCTTCCTCCCTCTAGAGCCTATAGGGGGTTTGGGGAAGGTGTGGGGATAGGAGGCCGGATTGGCCAATGGGAAGCAAGACCCGCCCCTTCCTCCCGCTGGAGCCAATAGGGGTTTGGGGTAGGCGGGGACGAGACACCGGATTGGCCGACAGAAGGGCGGGCCTACCGGCGAGGACGGAGGGGCGGCGCGGGTGGAAGGCCAGCCCCATGGCGGCGCTGGGGGCCTCCAGGACCAGATCGGGGCGCTGGGGGTCGGGGGCCCGGCGGTCGAGGTTCCAGGCGCAGACGTAGGATTTGTCGGCCCCCCAGTCGCCGTCGTCCAATCTGGGGGGAGAGAGGGGGGGAGAAAGGAAGCTGGGGGGCGGATATATTCGGGGGGAAATATCTCCGGGGGGATATATGTGGGGTGAAATATCTCTGGGGTGAAATATCTTTGGGGTGAAAAATCTTCAGGGGGGAATATATGTCTGGGGAGAAAAACCTTCGGGGGGAATATCTCTGGGGTGAAATATATATGGGGGAAATATCTTTGGGGTGAAATATCTCTGGGGGAAATATATTGGGGGGAAATATATATGGGGAAAATATCTTTGGGGTGAAATATCTTTGGGGGAAATATCTTTGGGGGGAATATCTTTGGGGTGAAAATTCTTTGGGGGGGAAATATCTCTGGGGGGAAATATCTCTGGGGGGGAATATATTGGGGGTGAAATATATATGGGGGAAATATCTTTGGGGTGAAATATCTCTGGGGTGAAAAATCTTTGGGGGAAATATCTCCAGGGGGAATATATTGGGGGGAAATATCTTTGGGGTGAAATATATATGGGGAAAATATCTTTGGGTGAAATATCTTTGGGGGGAATATCTTTGGGGTGAAATATCTTTGGCGTGAAAAATCTTCGGGGGGGAATATCTCTGGGGAAATATCTTTGGGGTGAAATATCTTTGGGGTGAAAAATCTTCAGGGGGGAATATCTCTGGGGAGAAAAACCTTCGGGGGGAATATCTCTGGGGTGAAATATATATGGGGGAAATATCTTTGGGGTGAAATATCTCTGGGGAAATATATTGGGGGGAAATATATATGGGGAAAATATCTTTGGGGTGAAAAAATCTTTGGGGTGAAAATTCTTTGGGGGAAATATCTTTGGGGTGAAAAATCTTTGGGGGGAATATCTCTGGGGTGAAAAATCTTCGGGGGGAATATAATCGGGAGGAAATATATATGGGGGAAATATCTTTGGGGTGAAATATCTTTGGGGGAAATATCTTTGGGGTGAAAAATCTTTGGGGGGAATATCTTTGGGGTGAAATATCTCTGGGGAGAAAAATCTTCGGGGTGAAATATATTTGGGGTGAAATATCTTTGGGGTGAAATATATTTGGGGTGAAATATATATGGGGGAAATATCTTTGGGGTGAAAAATCTTCGGGGGGAAATATCTCCAGGGGGAATATATTCGGGGTGAAATATATATGGGGGATATATCTTTGGGGTGAAATATATTATGGGGGGAAATATCTTTGGGGTGAAAAATCTTGGGGTTAAATATCTCTGGGGTGAAAAATCTTCGGGGGAAATATCTTTGGGGGTAAAATATATAATGGGACAAATATCTTTGGGGTGAAAATCTTCGGAGGAAAATATATTCGGGGGGAATATATATGGGGAAAATATATTGGGGTGAAAAATCTTCGGGGGGGGAATATCTCTGGGGTGAAAAATCTCTGGGGAAATATCTTTGGGGTGAAATATCTTTGGGGGAAATATCTCTGGGGAGAAAAATCTTCGGGGGAAATATCTCCAGGGGGGGAAAATATTGGGGGTGAAATATATATGGGGGAAATATCTCTGGGGTGAAAAATCTTTGGGGGAAATATCTCCAGGGGGAAATATATTGGGGGGGAAAATATATATGGGGAAAATATCTTTGGGGAAAATATCTTTGGGGTGAAATATCTCTGGGGAGAAAAATCTTTGGAGGAAAATATATTCGGGGGTGAAATATATATGGGGGAAATATCTTTGGGGGTGAAATATCTTTGGGTGAAAAATTTTCAGGGGGGAATATCTCTGGGGAGAAAAAATCTTCAGAGGAAATATATTCGGGGGGAAATATCTCCAGGGGGAATATATATGGGGAAATATATTTAGGGGGAAAATATCTTTGGGGTGAAAAATCTTTGGGGTGAAAAATCTTCGGGGGGAATATCTCTGGGGAGAAAATCTTCGGAGGAAAATATATTCGGGGGGAAATATATATGGGGGAAATATCTTTGGGTGAAAATCTTTGGGGAGAAATATCTCCATGGGGGAATATATTTGGGGGGAAAATATATTCGGGGTGGAATATATATGGGGGCAAAATATCTCCAGGGGGAATATATTTCGGGGTGAAATATCTTCGGAGAGACAAATATATTCGGGGGGGAATATATATTGGGGCAACAATATCTCCAGGGGGGAATATATTCGGGGTGAAATATCTCATGGGGCAAAAACTATCATCGTAGCGGCGAATATATTCGGGGCAAAATATCTATGGGGCAAAATATCTCTAAGGCAAATATATTTGGGGGGAAATATCTATGGGGCAAAATATCTCTAGCGCGAATATATTCGGGGGAAATATCTATGGGGCAAAATATCTCCAGGGCGAATATATTCGGGGGAAAATATCTATGGGGCAAAATATCTCTAGCATGAATATATTCGGGGGGAAAATATCTATGGGCAAAAATATCTTCTAGCATGAATATATTCGGGGGGAACTATCTATGGGGCAAAATATCTCTAGCGCGAATATACTTGGGGGGAAATATCTCCGGTGGGAAATATATTCGGGGAGAATATTCGGGGGGAAATATCTATAGGGTGAGATCTCTTGGGGAAATCTGGGGGCGGAATCTTTTTTTGGGGGATTTTCCAGGGAAAATTTTTGGGGGGATTTTTTCAGGGGGGATTTTGGGGGAGGAGATCTATGGGGGGAAGAT